TTTTTTTTTTGGAAACGTGCATGCAAGTCGGTTTCAACACTTACCTTGTCCTCAGCGATAGCTATAGGAAAGTTGCTCATGCTCGTGATCTTCGGTTTGCAGCTCATTCCTGGTCTACCGGGGTTCCATATATGAGCTCCATCGTCACCATACATGGAGTCGTCGCACTGTTTCTCCAGTGCCCACTCGCCGAAAGTGATCCATTCCTTCGCTATCCCCAGCTTCTCGTCGACCTCGGCAAAGAAACCCTCTGCATCACGCAAGGTATAGTCGATGTGCCAGTTATCAACCGGCAGCCTCTCCAGGACAATGTACTGACAGTCCTGTTTGTCCCTGTACTTCTTTCCGTTGATCGACACCACACAGTCAAAGTACTTGAGCCCGGGGGACTTCATATTTCCTGGATGGGCGAAATGCTCCAGCTGCGGGCCGACGCTCTCCCTGATATATTTTTCATAGGTGGAAAACAGCTTGTCGTATCCCTTGAGGCTCTCCTGGTACTCGCTTCCGATGCCCAAGAGCGTCTTAATCAGGATCTCCATCGCCCACCGATCCCAGCATTGGGAAGGGGTTGACAGAGTCTCAGCCGACTTGGCAAGATCGTCCAACGTCCGCGGCGCCTGGGCAGGGTCGCAGTCTAGACGGTCAATGTCCTCGTCGTCGATGTATATGTCCTCAATCGGGTTATAGTGCTCGCCCCAGAGCCACCAGTCGTCGAACTCACCGTTCTCGAAGCAGACGTCGTTAGGACAGAAACCGCGCTGGCAGGCGAAGCTGCAGAGGCCATAGTCCTCCACGCCAGATAGAGGCTTGGCCGTGGACGTTTCGAAGGGGTCGAGGATGTTGGCGAATCCCCATCCGACGGAACAGATGCAGCGCCGGATCGGGCAGTACCCGTGCTTGCAGGTGAACCCACAGAGCTCGTTAAAGTACTCCTGTCCATCGCGCGCCAGGCCGGCGTCGCAGTATAGCGGCTCGAAAAGGGACTGCGGCCGAACGTTCAGTGGCATCTTGGTGGTGGAGCAGTACTTGCCAAAGTCGGAGCATTTGCCATAGCTGCAGGCAAAGGAACACAAGCCCGAGACGCTCGCGTCTAGGTTTCCTATGGGGTGCCCCTGGACGCCGCTGGCCTTGGGCAGAGTAGGCTGCTTGCCCAGCCGGGTGCAGACACAGGCGGTCTGGGGGCAGTATCCCAGCGAGCAGGTGAACTCGCAGAGGTCCTTGACGACGTGCATGCCGGTTCCGTTGACGCAGACGGCCTGGCTGATATCGGCCGCTTGGGCGTTGACGACGGCCGTGGAAAACCCGCTCGCCACGTGCGCGTTGTAGTTTGTGAAACCGTTCCAGCGCGAGCAGTCGCTGGAGATGGCGTCGCCGAAGACTGTAATGGTCGTCTGGCCTCTTGTGACGATGACCCGGACTATCCCGGTCCCTCCCTCCTTGTCGCACTCACCCAGATACATGCCGGTCCCGTCGTTGTCGGGACCCTGGTAGAACTTGCCGGTGGTGATGGAGCCGCCAACGTCGCAGAGCACCTTGTCCGGCTTGCCCTTCAGCAGGGCAGCGAAGTGGATCTTGTTGTCCATCACCTCCTCGGGTTCGAATTCCTGCTGCAGCTGAGAAGCAGTATTGGCAACGGTTCCGTTGTGGTTACACCTGGTCGGATCGACCAACGTGTACCAGGTCACGAGCCGCTCATGGTCAATGGTGGCGACGTTGTTCTTGTACATGTCGATGACGAACGGCAGGATATCGCGCCAGCCGTCATGGGGCAGAGTGGCATAGTTGTACGGCGCCCTGCCAATGTCGAAAGCGCCCATGGCGTGTTTCCGGACCGGGCCGATGTAGTGCGACTCGCCGTAGTCGTTCCACGAGATGATCTGGATGAACTCGGGCTGCCACCACTGCGCCTGGATCCAGCGGTCGCCCCACGCCCGGTCGCCGCGCCAGAGCCAGTTCTTGTTGTAACCCGGCAGGTTGGTGTAGAACCAGGGCGAGACCGGCATCATGTACGGCTTCCCGTTCATGTACTGGGCGTACGAAGCGTCCGTGTACGTGTACATGTCCCAGTCTCCCCACGCCCACGCTGCCCACGAGAAGAGCCCGTCCGCGACGCCGCCGCCGGCAGCCATGGCCTTCTTGGCCCCCAGGGAAGACCAGTCGGGCATGAAGAAGCAGGACGTTTGGCTCTTGATGTCGATCCAGTCGTCGGCCTGGTCGGGTCCTTCAAAAGTCGAGACAAAAGGCCTCCCGTTGTGGTGGAAATAGGCGCTGCTCGAACCATACTTTGCAATGTATTCGATCACCGTTTGCTTGGGCCAGGGCCCGTTGCCGGCGTAGTCGAACGAGAAGAAGAGCTGCATGCCCTCGCTCGCGGCGGCGGAGAACGCGGCTGCGAGCGACTTCTCGTTGGTCTCTTCGCCGTGGGCCATGTTCAAGGCAAAGGCGTCAATGTGCGCCTTCTTGGCTTGACGCATGTCATCCAGCCAGTCGCTTGTGGTGTAGTTCTCTGTGTTGCCAATCTTTACCACAAAAAGTTAGCATCACGGCTTTTTTTCAAGGTATATACAACATTCAATGTGGGCCAGAATGCAGTCAAGTCAACGAGGAGGGCGGACTGGAATCTCGTTCATAGAGGTACATACCATAAAATGGGCAAACACAGCTTTTGCCGTGACCTGAGTCACGGTGGCGGCAACGGCCACCGCCAGAGTTAACCACCGCATATGTTGCGTTGCAATGGAGTGTTGCCGGTGATTTGGAGTTTGGCCAAGGTAGCGGCGTGTTGTAAGGAGAGAGAGAGAAGGATCGAAATGATGAGTGAATCAGCTCAGCTCTCTCTCGGCGACTTGAGGAGTGAGTGTCTCGGCGAGGAGTGAGTGTCTGCGGCAACTCTAGTACATGTAGAGCTGTCGTCTCCCTCTATGGTTTATGAAGTTCTTGTTCGACGACGCAGGCAAGGCAAGGCAGGGCCCAGTCCCTAGGTAGCTCTGGATACCCCTGGGATATGCTCCGATTGCCAACCACATGCAAATTACCTCTACCTAGGTCTGCTCTCACCTGCCTCCCTCTCGGACTAGGGAGGAATGGAATGCTCGCGGGTTCGTTCGGAGTCGGATCCACGGAAGCGTTGCCGCAGCCGCCCACGTTGGAAAGTCTCGACCCTCGAGATAGTCGCCTACGACTTTGGACCCGACTAGACCTCTAGCGAGTAGTTCTAGTAGGGGCAAATCACCAACATGATGCCTCTAGGCTGAGGTAGGTAGGTAGGTACCTTCCAGTGGAGGTTATCTTTGCAGAGTTTTCAAAGATGTGTGCTTCATCATCACATCAACACCACGTTTCAGGGTACCTTAGGTACCGAGGGTCTACTACAACTCGACAATGTAGTATATGCACGCTCCGTCGAACGATATCCAAGGCCCGGACCTCCCAACTTAGTTGGTAACATGGAAGGATCATGAAGTGGCAACTAGGTATGTTCCTCCTCCGCTACCGGCAACGAGCATCTCGAGCATCTCCATAGGCAGTTTTAGTTCTGGATCTGTCTTTTTCTCCATTCTGAAATTGTTACTTTGTTGCAACTCTTTAGGTAGTGGGTTGCCACATACTACGGTATCTAGTTACACTAGAGTGTCCTTGCTGGGTGTGAAAATCACGAAAATCACCTGTATGGATCCGGACAATTTCAGGGTTTGGTGTTTAGTAGTTGTTGTTATTTTTTAACGCCTACTTCCGCCTCCCGTAGGGCATGAGACGTGCCGCACCGGTGAGTCTAGCATACAAAATTAAGAGCAGTGCCCTAATTGTGTTTGGTGTTCAGTGTTGCTCAGGGGTGCATGAAAGATGCCTGCACCCACTCAGGGTCGCTTAAAACGTTCCAGTCCAGGCGGTACGGTTGTTGGTTGTTGGTACAGGGTAGTATTGCAGTGCTTGCACGTCTGGTAGGGTCGTATGCTCTAAACCGTTGCGGTTACTACCTACCGAGAGATGCACTTGCTCCTCTTGCTGCCCTGCCAGGCGCTACCAGACCCCTACATGGACTCAGGTGTTTTGTCTAGAGGTGGTTACAAAAGCGTGGTCTTGATATCCACAAGCACGAAAAACGCCGAAATTGAATTTCGGGATCTCGACCCGTCTGTGTTGGTGCATCTGCTAACCTAGTGTACATGTAGAAACCCACGCCTCGATGAGAACCTAGGTACGCCTATAAGTTCCATGTAGAGGTACCTATCGTGACTAGGGCCCATTGCACTATACAATCACACGGCGGTCGGTCTCCAGGGTTTGGCATAACACCTACGACTACCTACCTTTATACGGAAGCGTCGCCGGTGATAGTGATATGAACAAAGTCGGCATTTAATAGGCGGGCACCACCCTTTGGATACACAGGCACCAATCCCTATATAGGGACTAATATTATAAGAGTTGGTATGAAATCTTCAAGTAGTTTATCATTTATACAGTTATTTCCAAAATGTTATATATATTAGAAAGGGGCAAGAGAAATAATAATAACGTTTAGTGATATAGTTTTACCTAGAAATTTCTAAAGTATATTATATTTTACATTAAATCTATCATTATTTCTTTATTAACAACGTTTTAAAATCATAGAATTTATTCAATAATAGTATTATCTTTAAATAATTTAATAATGTTATATTAAATAAAAATATTGTAATAGAGATAACGGAAGGTGTTTTAAAACTTTTTCCCTATTAGTATAGCCTTTTAATTTATGATTAAAGTAAGGGTTAGCCTATTAGAGTAGTTATATTGGTTGTTATTATTATAGCAAACTATATACAATAATACCCCCGGTTTATAATATATATGTATAACAATATTTAAGTAAGAGATATATTAGACTTTTTAAAATCTTATATTAATCTTATAATAAAAATAATTAATAATAACGTTATAAGGAAGGTGAAGAGTTCATTTACTTTTTTAAGAGTATTTTCCGCAGTTTTAATAATAATTAAGAAAGGATCCTATTTAATTGTGTAAGAAGCGGGCTTTTGTTTCTTCTTTTCGTCAGAGGTAGACGTTATAGTAGGGTTATTACTAAAATAATTATCTTTAATAGTAAGTTTAAGAATTAAGGGTTTCGGAGAAAAAGAAAGTAAATAAAGTAGTTTTACTAATTAATAGTCGGTATCATAATTGAATAATACGGAGGAATTAGATTTTGGAAAGGAGTTAAAGATATAATAATAGACTATTATTTAATAAAGAGAAGAGGAGAAAGGAAGGGAGAAATCTTTGAAGGAAATGTGGGGTTTTATATATAAATTTTATATTAAAGGGGGGTACAAATATATATTATTACCTATGATAAGTAGGATTACTATTTAATTACAATTACTAATCATCATATTTTAAATATTAATTGTCTTCATTTAAATAGTAGGTACGGTAGAGAGGAGAAGAGAGAGGTAATACTATAAAGTTACAGCCCGGGCATTATAATTCTAATTTTAAAACTAGAATTAATATATAGTACGTATCCTATTATAGCGGTGTGTACTATACTCCTTTATTAAAACCTTGCTCCTTCGATAGGCCTACTTCTTAAATAGAGTTTTCCTCTTTTATAAAACCTTAATTATGCTATACGACTAGTACTTATATTAACTGTGCTGTCCTCATTGTATATAGTAATGCTTTTCTTATTCAATTTTATTTTACTCTATTTGTAAATTTATATAAATAAAAGCAATAGGTTAGGAGATTTAAAAGGATCGTTATTGCTATTACCTTATTATTACATAAATAAGAGTATGTCACAGGTTGACATTGGCTATATAGTGTGCATTCCGAGTTCTGCCTTGCAAGCAGAACATCGTCCTATCTTTTGTAGGTTTGGCCGTCTGGGCATATGCACCCCAGCCTGTCACAGTATCGCTATTACTATCTTCGATTTACGTAAAATTAATAAACGTATTATTATACCTATATTTAAGCGCCTACAATAGCATCTTGAAATTCGTATATATGATACGCGCAGTATTATAACGTTTTAAAAAGTTAGGAAATCCCTTTAATAATTTATACAACTAATATTTACACACTTACGTACAATTTTGGTCTATTATAATATTTACAACTATTCTACTTATAAAGAAAGAGTTAAAGAAAGGAGGGATTGATGAAAGATTAAAAGTAAATATAAAAGTCGCTAAATTTAAAAGTACTAACTAACTATATATATATAAATTAATAGCGGATTTACTAATTGATTAAGCTTAGTACTATCTTCTATAAAAGGTTATTATACAATTATAGTCTAGCTAAAGGAAAGTTTCTAAAAACTATTTATATACGTCTAACCCTAACCCAATTGGTGCTTATATAGGGATTGGTGCCTGTTTATCCCAAGGGTGGTGCCCGCCTATTAAATGCCACAAAGTCAGATACCTCTAGGTAGGTACCTCCACCTCTGTATCTGCCGAGGCAACTTTCTGAGTAGAGGTAGCTTACCTCCAGTCAACACCGGGCTCTCTGACACCTTTAATTTCGTTTACGCTATGGGCGACACATGATATATACTGGCAATAGGCCTCGGTTTGCCCTCGGATTAATGGTTTTGGTGGACAGTTAGGGCATTGCTCTTAATCTTGTATGCTAGACTCACCGGTGCGGCACGTCTCATGCCCTACGGGAGGCGGAAGTAGACGTTAAAAATAACAACAACAACAACAACAACAACAACAACAACCGGGCTCTCTGAACATGTGGGCATATTCTACGGTAACTTGGTGTTGGTTGGAACATCTCGCACCACCATGTAGACGCCTGGACTTCCTCTCGTTAATCCTACCTTCCGCTCCTAGGCGCCTTCAAGGTAGAGCCGGTTTTTCCGCGAGCAGACGTACGCAAAGGTATCTCTAGGTACCAGTGTATATCGCGTTCAACCCGTCGGCGGTGTGCACCGGATAGGTACCTTTAGAGGTACATCTTGTAGGTCTGGTACGTACCTCTAGGTATGTAGGTAGTAGGTTTTGATGAGAGACAGTATAAAATATGTAAAAAGAGTCGGACGGGCATGTTTGCAATGCTCATAGGATGCTGACTGAACTCTTAAGCAAACTCTTCCCCTTTGGCTTTGCCTTTACCCAAGGCTAGTTGGACATGCATGCACTCTTTTCCAACTCTTTCCTCCCCATCTTTCACACACACAACTCTCTTCAAACAACCAGCACCGCCAGCCCGGCCACACCATCACGATGCTGGTACGCTCAGCATGGACCTGGATTGTCCTCATTGCATCGTGGGCTAGCATTGTCGCCAGCAAGAGCCCTTCGGTTTGCTACGAGATGATAGCCGCCTACCACGTTTACAATATCGCCTGGCAGTACAAGGGTGCAGACCAACGGTACATCTATCCTCACCTCGATCCTAACCCCACGGATGACGAGGATGAAAGGAAGAAAAAACTATATAATGCGTCTTACAGGAGCAAGGGACATCGAGGAAGCCTAGCCAACGGCAAGATGACCTGGGAAGAATTCTGTGTGGCTTGGATCAAGGACAACAAGATAACCCCCGACAAGATTCCGCGACTGGATCTGAACAACATCGAGGCAACGGCCGGTGCGCTTAAAAAGGTGAAGGAGCCGAGCATGGTGCCGGTCCACCTCGCATCAGGCATACCGAGGATCGAGCCGGAGAAAGGCAAGAAGGACACGAACTTGAAATATCCTGAATTGCTCGAGCAATGGTCGGATATGATTGTGGAAGCCCGAGAGCGTGTGTAAGTTGACATGGAACGGACACGGGCCACTTTGTTGATGGCACACTGTTTGGGTGTGTACGCAGGTACCTTAGCTGACCGCTTCAATTTGGCCACATCATATAGCCCTCTAGAAACCATCGAGAAAGATTTGAAAGCCATAACCCTCGCGAGCGAGAAGGCCAGGATTTTCCGACTAATCGAGTTTCGCCAGAAAAAATATCTCGGTGACGACCTGAAAAGGGTCTTCCCCGGTATGAGCGTCTTCGGCACGACTGTCCATGTTCCCGAGTTCTCCCTAAATTTCGCGGTTGTTGATGTACCGCTCACTCTCAACGCCCGGATCAACAGGCGTAACATGCCAGACATCTTGGAAAAAGCCCTTGGGTGGCACCAACTGCCTTTTGATCCTATCGACTGGCGGGAGAGGTTCATGTTACTGGCAGATGAGTATGGGCGGGAGCCAGTCGAACGGAATGCAAAAACGCTCAAGCAGATGAGTGCCGAAGAAAGAAAGGCACGATATTTGGCAATAAGCCATCGCACGATCTTGGAGGTTATAAAGTCCCTCGGTGAGACGGCACGGGATACTCCTGGGTGCCGTGGGAAGGTTGGCAGTATGTGGTAAAGTCAAGATGAAATTCATGTATATACCTACCAGGAGAGATGGCGGTGATTGTGAGGCTGGGGGGGAAGCGATATCTGAAGGCAGGAGGACACCAGGTACATGTCAACGTATACAGCTGGGTCGAGTGGAGGAAACATGAATGAGAATGAGCGCACATAGGATTCATTGTTTTGTCAATCCGGTGTTATTTTCAAGCACAGGAGCAAGCACATGTATGTTAGTTTACTTTACAACTCCATTGCTCTCGCTCGTCATCTGTTCTTTCTTTCATAAGGTCCGGTACCTGTATTACAATGTACCTAGCGAAGCAGCTTGCCATGCCTTTGCAACAAAGATGCCCGCAGTCACGAACCTCATACTGCCCTGTTTTGTTTGATACAAATCTTGACATTGCAGAAGTTCCAGTCATAGTCTCTACCACAAGAATCATCATTAATTGGGGCATATGGAACGAGGATTTCATCCACTCCATGATGACACGGACATGAAAAAAATACCTACCAATTGCCTGGCATAGCAACAGAACCGCATTGCCCGTGTTCAAGATAGTATGATAGAGAGAAAAGAAAATGGCATGGGAGAAAAGAAACGATATTTCCTTCACATTGTCTGCGTTGTGCAATTCCACTTGGGGAGCACATTCCATGTACCTATAGGTTCCCTTGATGGAAAACTTATAGTAGCCTTATAGCGCACTTTAATGAGCCGAAATTCAAACTCGCATTGTGGTTTGGGTTCGTAGCCCAGTTTCTCAACTCCTTTGCGATTGATGGGCTTTTCTAGGGGGGCACCCACTGTAGGTGAGGCACATTAGGGGCCAAAAGTCTGGATCTGGGGCACTTTTAAGAACCCCCGCAAAATGCATCAGTTCTTACTATATTTATGTAGGTGGTCTTGCAATGCGAAAAAAAAACATAATTCGGTACCAAGAACGTGTACCGGTATTGCATATAGACGATGCATGTTCCCGTCGTGTGCTCGCCTTTTGGCTTCAAGGCGCGGAAAGAGCAGCATAGAAATCACGGACTCAACTATCGCATCAGGTTAGGTCCCAATGAACCAGAAAAGGGCTACTCACACCCAGACCCGACTGTCAGTTTGGGTACCTAGAGCGTATACCTAGTAGGCATGCAAGGTACCTACCCGCGGCCTGCCTCGCCGCCCTAC